CTAGGAATCCTCTGCCTTGGCACTATATAAGGAAATGTTATTCTGAGCATTGCCTTGCTAGAGACAGAGCATTTGGATGAGCTGTCCTTTATGGTTGCCACAGGGTCACTTCATTGGATCTGAGGTATGTTCCTTATAAGTGACACAAAGACAGATATTCTCCTATATTTCCATGCTTTTAATTAATTTGTTACCTGCGCGCGCGGGTGCCTGTGTGTGTGTGTGTGTGTGTGTGTGTGTGTGTGTGTGTGTGTGTGTATGTGTTTGCACATGCATGATGTGGTTGCATGGGTTGCATGTTATCCAATATGTGTGGAGGTCAGAGGATAACTCCATGGATTTGACTCTATCTTTTTACCTTTATAAGAGTTTCAGGGACTGAACTCAGGTCACCTGACTTGTGTAGCAAGTACCTCAGCACACTGAGCCACTTTGATGACCATAGTTCTATAAACTTTATACTAAAAGAATGTAAGGAACTGAATTTCATTTTTATTTTGCTTTGCCATTCCAACTGGAGGTAGAAACTTCCTTTCAATCAATGTCGTACCTTCTCTGTGCATTCAGCCTCTCGCCACCCCAACATCCTTTAAAGGTCCCCATCTTTGGCATTGCATCTGCACTCCACGAACTCATGGGGGCTTACAGCACACCAAGCTACAGTATGGGACTTCCAGGTTTTCATTACAACCATTTTTTGCCCAGTGCTCAATAAGATAGCCGTTTTTTCTCAATCACCAAGACCATTCTTTGAACAATTACTGCTTCAAAGCAAAATTGCAGTTCTCTTGTGGTCTTGCAAACTAGCCCAGGTTCTCCTTGTGCTGGGCAAAGAAATTCATTAATGCTCTCTCTAAGTACCTGTGGCATTCTGCTATGCTGCACCCTATTTTCTTTTGGACCTCAAGACCTCTGTACAGGTTCTATTTTTTATTCCCTACTGCTGGTGGTAGGATATGATGTTCCTTCTTTCATACATGCTGGTGTCTGGCCACAGACACTAGCCATTTCCTTCTCCCAGACTGGAAAACATTTATCTCCCTGGGTCAGAAACAATGGTTCTTCACCACCCTGGAATTCCTCAAGTCTTTGCAGAATGAACTTTCCCCTCCTCTTTCAGCCTGTGGGGTTTTAAATCTTGAATGCCCAGCCCATTGTTATTGCAAAACTTTGTTTTCTGAAACTTCTCTGCCTTTTTGTGATAACATTCTTCTTCTAAGGTAGTAGGTACATGGTTGCATTGATAACCAAGGGACAAGAATAAATGACTGGAACAGACACATACAAGATAAGTGATTGAAAATATTTATTTCAACTTTTACTTTGCATTAGGTGAATAAACTACTAGTGATCATAAAACTAACATGAATACTAACAGTATGTACCTGGCACTGTTCTTAGCACTTGAGATCAACTGCTTCGCCCAACATTTCAAGAACCTCTGAAGAAGGTGCTGTTAATATCAGCGCTTGCACAATGAAGAATGTGAAGGAGAGATATTAAGCGATTTTCCTCAGGGAGCAAAACTAAAAAGTGGTAAAGGCAAGGCTCAAACACAGGCACTGGATACACAGTTCACAGTCATAACCACACCACCACACAGTCTGCCCTGTGTGCAAAGCATTGTTGGTTTAAAAAAATAGGCACAAATATAAAATTACTTTGTACTGTCTGTCTCAAAACCATGATTGTTAGGATTATCAAGCTCTTGCTGACTTGTCAGGATAAGACGATCATATTTAATAATGTTTCCAGAGTCAAGCAATCTGACAACCAATGTGAAACTGGTTAGAAGTTGCCCCCTGATGCCTCATCGAAACCTAGATGTCCATTTCCTAAAATGGGAGCTCAGCACCTACACACATGCTCTCAGATCTCATATTGCTGGGTTTCCTCCTTGCATAACAATCTCTGCCTTGCTAACGTTTCAGTCCCTCAAATCTCCAAGTTCTCTTGTATTCTAGTTCCTTTGCATCCTTCCTTTGCTTAAAATGTTCCCAATGGAAAGAATAAATTGAATAGATGGGTTAGCTGCCTTATGACTGACAGGAAATTCATCATCATTTCATCCCATGAAGTGTTTCCTCTGGACTTTATTTCCCAAGCAAGAAAGTCTCACTGAGTGTCACACTCTTTTCCTTTCCAGACATTTAGTCACTCCACACATTAAATTCTCCCATTTGAAGTCCTTGCTTCTTGTTCTAGTACCCTGGTCCCAGTTCATGCCACTGGGCGCTTTGTCCTAGATCCAATAGAATGTATTTCTAATTCTCTTTATTAGTATAATACAATTACTTATACAGAAGAATAGGTTTCATTGTGAAACCTCCATGAATTTCTAACAGAACCTTTGGCAATTCTTCTTTCATCGTCTATTGAGTTTGATTTATTCTAGGCACTGTGACAGTGGCTTTGGAGACTAATAGATAAAATAGATACAGACCCCTATTCTACTAATTAATTTTACATATTTACAAATGTTTATGCTACTACTACTACTACTACTCATACTACTACACACACACACATATATATATATGACTAGAAATATATATATATATATAGGACTATAACCAATTAAATGGCCTTGGTTTGGGGTTTTGCACCAGGGTGGCTGTAAAAGGATGGTTTATCATCTGAGGGACCCTCTTCTCTTCATTCTCAAGGTGTGCCTGAACTAAGTACTGTTTTTTCCACCCCTTTTAGACTTCTAGAGTTTATTTTCCACAGCACCTCTAAAGCGGGTCATTCTAATTGACCTAAAACGTCTCTTTGTCTTATGATACTTGTTTTCTTGTGGGCTTATGGTCAGATGGTAGAGGAAGAAAGTGCAGTCTTTAAAGAAATGGTCTTGGTGGGGTGGGTTGAGATAGAATACCATTTAGCCAAGACTGGACTTGAATTTGCTATAGACTTTCCCTCACAATGAAATCCAGGTCCTATCAAAGGCTTTAATAAGAAAATTATTACCAGGCTTTTTTAGTGAAAAATAACTGTGTTTATGGGGAACAGAAAACACAGATGCACATATAAGACTTAGGAGTGGGTCCTGGGGAGGGGGAAAAACAAAACAAAAAAGGCACAGAGATTGGGGAGCAAGGAGTCAAGGGTGAGGCTTCCCTGTTAAAAATTCACATAGTATTTAGTTTATTATCCCCTGGGTTATGCACGATAATGGCAGCTTTTCTGTTTCTCGGGAGGCGATGGACTTCCTGATGCTAACCAAGCCTAAAGTGAATCCTAGTTGCATTAGGTAAAACACATTATTTAACCTCTCTGGAGCCCGAGGCATGATGATAGTATTAATCTCAGGGTTAAAGGCAGCATAGGTGAGAAATTGAAAAGTCATAATGCTTCAATATGTGAAGCTTCTGAGTACTGACATGATATTACCCTAGGAAATTTCACACCTGACATCATGTGATGATCGTAGTCACCAAAATGAATTATCTAATCATGACATTATCTGGAGTTCTGTATATAAGATTTCCACGAACTATGAATGAATTCCCTGTTTAATTTCCATTCCACTCCCAAGAGATCTCATTGGACATATGCAAATATTTAAAAAATCTATAGCTTTCTGAATGATAAAGATCCCAGGAGCCTGTCTGCTGCAAAAAAAAAAAAACCAACAAAAAACAAAAAACCAGCAAATCAATGCTGCTGTCATATCACAGGGGTGTGATAATATTTCCACAATTAAAACACCAGTACAGTGCCCAAATTTTAATAGATACTAAAAGATTAACCAGTCAAGAATTGACTAGAGAGTTGAATCACGAAGACAAAGAAATCCTCCTATAATTCTCACCCAGAGGTGGGTGTTCATTATAGCCTGGGTTTTACCTGACAGCTATGCACCTGCTAGGTGTATAGATCTCATTGTCCTATTCTTCCTACGTCTGAATTTGGATCTTCATTGCAGCTACAGGAACTTGGAAAAAATGAACCTCCTGCCCATTTATGTGTAAAGTAGGAAAGCAATTCCTTGCTTAACGATTAAGAAAGAGCATCTGCTGGGCAGGAGACACTAGCTCACACACCACCATTCTCCTTTGTTAAGAAAGGTAAGCAAAAACTGGCCTGTGGTCTTGCCAGTCATATGCAAAGCAATACATCGGTGTTTTAATTGCATTTAGATTTTCACCTAATTCTACCAGTTTCGTGCGTATAAAGAATAGGGAGTATGGCCACCCATCCTTTTTAAAATTTCTGTCTCGTAAACAGTACTGAAGACTCAAAATGTCTGCCCCCTCTAAATACCCTGGCTTTCAGCACGACCACGAAGCTGGCGATCCTTTCAGAGGGTTGCTGCGGGTCTATTGGATGCTTCATGGCTTCCCGGGAAAGGAATACAGCAAGACGCAGTATCAGTTGGCTGTACCCCTGATTCAGATTAAGGACCACCACAAGGGAAACCCAGCCCTACCCCCTCCCTTTTGGGGAGCCATGGAGCACTGGCCATGTTTTCCTCACAGTGGGATCTGCATCCCGGAGCAAAAGCCGCCCGCCCACCCCGTGGGACTTATGACCCTGGGCTTTCTCCCGGTCGGTCAATGTCCAGTTAGGCAGTCCCACGTCCCAAACATCCTTTCTCTAAGGAACAGATTTGTGTGCCTCCCTCGCTGGCTCGGCAGGCTCCCGAGAGCCACTGGCTTCAGATTACCCATTCCGCCCTCATCATCCCAGACTCCTCCACTCACCAGACTGTCCATCGTTGCTCTGGGCCGCAGCTAGACACCAGCTTCTTGGGGTCTGAGCTCCTCCACTGTGGAGGGTATCGCAGCAACACCTGTCAGCAGTGGTACCAGCGATGATGCAGCCAGCGCAGCCCCCTCCGCCGCACACGCAGACTCTATAGCGCGCTAGGACACGCCCTCCCTCCTCCGCCTTTCCCCACCCCATTCACCGACCCTGGTTCTAGCCCTTGCTTCTGTTTTTAGAGTAATTGAGCAAAAGCGTGAAGAAAAAAAAAAAAGCTCTATAGTTTGGTTTTCTTTTTCGTTTTAGATTTATTTTTTCAGACTTATTTATCTTATTTTGCCTCTCTGGTGCCAGCAGAAGTCAGTAGAGGGCGCCGGATCACAGTCCTTGGCATAGAGGGAAGTCAGAGTTGGAACCCAGGCGAGGGAACAAGAGCTGCTGCATCCATCCAGTGGCCATGAAGAGCAAAAGGTAAAACTTGGAAGAGAAGAGCAATGGCCTGGAAGGGCTGAAGGAATTCATGCAGATACTCTGGAAAAGAGAACAATTTTATTTTAGAGTTTGGTGTATTAAAGGACAGTGTGTGTGTGTGAGAGAGAGAGAGAGAGAGAGAGAGAGAGAGAGAGAGAGAGAGAGAGAGAGAGAGAGAGAGAGAGAGAGAGGTGGTTACTAGGTGTTGACACCTAATCTAGAGCTGTAGAGGTCATAAGGGCTCAGAGCTACCTGTGAACACACTTCCACAAATAGTACACCTAAAGGCACTTTCCTTCTGGTTATCAGATTGCCCTGCAGTACTCCTAAGAGAAGGATGTTTACAGTACTCCTGAGAGAGGGATGAGAACCAAGGGGTAGATCAACTGAGTCACAGATTGCCTTGAATTTAAGTTTGACCTTGAGGAAAACTTTACAGGCCATCCACATAGCAACAGAAACCATGGTGGAATACTCACTGTATCAGTTGTGTATGGAAAAAGATTATTTGTCTTATTGATGGGGGTTGTGGTGGGGAGGGGTCCCTAAGTGACCAGAAGGCATGTCAACAGGCAAGCAGAAAGATCACATCTTCAACCGCAAGTACAAAGTGAGCCACCTGGCAGCAGAGGAAGATTAAGAACTCTCAAAGCCTGCTCCCAGGTCACCTGCTCCCTCCATCAAAGCCCAATCTCCAAAAGATTATATAACATTCCCCCCAATCAAGGCCACCAACCAAGTACTTAAATACCAGGCTTATGGGAGACCCTTCTGATCACCAAATTGAGGCACCTTTAGCTAGCTTTCTTTTACATACTAGACCCATCTTCCCAGGAAACAGTGCTGCCTATAGCAGGCTGGGCCCTTTTGCATCAATTAACAACCAAAATAATATAAAAAGACACACCCAGAAGACAATGTGATCCAGTCACTTCCTCAATTGTGGCTCACCCCTCAGATGACTTAAAGCTGTATCAAGCTGATAACTCGACTTAGCTAGGACATCAGTTCTTGTAGCAAAATTGAAGGTGTGCAACATAGTATTGCTAATTGCTGTAGGCACTGTAGTGTTACTAAACTTGCAATGCAGACATACATCACCTTTAGTCATAGTACCTCCTGGTTTCTCCCTCCAGAATCTGGCTAACTCTTTCCTGTAAACCTTGTAATGTAATAGGCCCTCCCAAGCACTGTAGCACAGCATAGTCTATGGTTAACAGTGGACAAGCATATGCAAACAGTATTCTGGGAAGGCCTTATATATGAGAATAAAGTACAAGAGAAAATTGTGGAAGACTTTTTAAATTTGGAGGCTGTATGCGTTACTTTTCTCAGTTCTGTGACATAGGACATTGTTGTAGAATATTATTTCAAGATGTATTTCATTTGTTTTTAACAATGCAAAGCTGTGTTGCATTCTTTTATGTTGTATTTGTTTAACTTTGTGAAGACGTGTTACTTTGCCTGTCTAAAACACCTGATGGTTTGATAAAGAGCTGAACAGCCACTAGCAAGGCAGGAGAAAGGGTAGGTGGGGCTGACAGGCATAGAGAATAAATAGAGGGAGAAATCTGGGAGCAAGGAGGACATCAGGGGTCAACTACACAGCAAGCCACACAGAAAGAAGTAAAGAAATGTGTAACATAAATAATAAAAACCAGACACAGATATTGGGGCTCAAGCTGAAGATCAGAGAGACAAAGCAGCCGGCTACTACCTCTTACCTCTACCTCAGGCTGAAAGGGCTGTCCTGTCCTCAGTGTTGCTGAAAAATAAAATCTTTGAGACTGACTTTGCTTCTTCCTTCTTTGCCTCTCAAATCCTGGGATTAAAGGCATGTGATCCAAAGTGCTGAGATCACCTTGGTGTGAGTTGTTTCTCTTTAGGACTGGATCAGTTTCATGTAACTCAGTGTGGCCTTCAACTAACAGAGATCCATCTGCCTGTTTTCTGAGTCCTGGTATTAAAGATTTGTCTCACCACTGCCTGACTCTGTGGCTTGTGGCTAGCTTTACTTTCTGTACCCTCATGCAAGCTTTAATAAATCATAAATTATACATCACCACAGAAAAGGAATTCAGAAATAGAGAAGGTTAAAAGCCCAGAGATAAAAGGTAGGTGGGATAATTTGAGTTAAGAAAAGCTGGCTAGAACTCCTGGAATTCAGTTGAAGAGAGGAAGGAGGGATGAACAAAGTGGTCAAGACCATGCTGGGAAACCCACAGAAACAGCTGACCTGATCAAGTGGAAGCTCATGACGCCAGTTGCAAAACTAGGGAACCAGCATTGGACCAAACCAAGCCTTATAAACGTAGGTGTCAGTTAGGAAGCCTGGGCAGTTTATGGGATCTCTGACAGTGGAATCCGTATTTATCCCCAGTGCACAAATGGACTTTGGGAGTCCATTCCCCATGGAGGGATATTCTCTCAGCCTAGACACATGGGGGAGGGACTAGGCCCTGCCCTGAATGATGTGACAGACTTTTATAATCCCCCACAGAAGGCCTCACCCTCATTGAGGAGTGGATGGGTGGTGGGATGGGGGGCTGGTGGGGGCATGGGAGGATGGGAAGAAGAGGGAACTGAGATTGACATGTAAAATAAGATTGTTTCTAAATTAAATACACACACATATGAAAAGATGGCTAGAAACAAGTCAAACTAAGGTAAGGAATTTTTAAGTAAGAATAAGTTTCTTGTGTGTTTTATTTGGGAGCTGGGTGGTGGGCCCCCAAAGAGCAAAGAGTGAAAAGAGTAAGAAACAACCAACAACAGTAAATGATAAAAGCAACTTAAGGAAGGAAGTAAGGTGGTGTCTCAACTCACAGTTCATGGGGAAGAAGGCATGGCAGGAGAAACATGGGTCTCTGGTCACATGGCGTCTACAAGCAGGAAGTAAACAGAGGTAAATGTTGATGTTTGGCTGACTTTCTCCTTCTTATTCAGTTTGGGGTCTAGTCTATGGGATGCTTTCACCCCATGCCTGGTGGGTTTTCTTATCTCAAGGAACCCAATGTAGAATCCAACTATTAAACATCAAAGAAGATTAGCTAATTTGATTTCAAGATCTTCAGCTGTAACTAGGTCTGAGTTTTCTGGAACAGGTGTTGAGCAATTAATCCATGCCATACTCATAGAATCAGCAGTCAGAGAAGGGAATGGATTTTCATACTAAAGATCTTTCTTCTATCCCTTCTTTAAGCAGATGGTGTGGCAAGCGAAACAGGCCACCAATAATTTTAAAGTTTAGTCTTTCCCCTCTGGTCAGGTGGTCAGTCTTGTCACTGAGATTTATATCATTTGTCTTTTCTCTGCTGTCTTCTCTCTGTAGCAGGAGAATTCTACTGTCCATCAATCTCTGGCAGCAGGAGAAGGGTTCACAAGTACCACAACCAATCACCCTTTCCTCTTGAGTTTCCTAGATTACAGCTTAACTCAGAACAAGCAAACCATTAGCAATGCGCACTATAGCTTCCTACACAATAAAACACAAATGTGCTTCTGAAATACAGACTATAAAGTACCTGCATCAATCTTACTGTGAGTCAGATGACCTGTGAGTTAGGTAGGTGGGCCCCCTGGCCTATAAGAAACCCTATATCAAACAGAGATGGGTGTGGGGTGGGGGACTGGATATAGAGACAGTGGGTCTAGAGAGGTGAAGAGGCTCAGTGGTTAAGAACACTGGCTGTTTTCCACAAGACCTGCATTCCATTCCCAGTACTCAAATGGATGCTCATGATCTTCTGTAACTACAGATCCAAGAGAATAATGTTATCTTCAGTTAGCAGGCACACATGTGGCAAACACGAAGGCAAAAGTCCCATGTATATAAAACAAAAATTTTAAGAAATTGAAAACAAATCATGCTTGTATATTCTGCTATATTTCCATGATTACTAAAGAGTGGGGTCAGCATTCAAAAGGCAGTGCAATTGCAGATTTGCTGCAGTAAAGCCATCCAGGGACAGGAGCACTATCCAACTGACAGTAGCTTTTGAAAAAGAACACAAAAGAAAATTTCCTCAATTCCTGCCTTCTTTCCCATCTTCCAGAGTGTGCTGAGATTCAATACTATACCCAAATCTTTGCTATAGAACTAAATAGAGAATTCTCAATAGAGGAATCTAAAATGGCTGAAAGACACTTAAGAAAGTGCTCAACATCCTTAGTCACCAGGGAAATGCAACTCAAAATGACTCTGAGATACCATCTTACACCTGTCAGAATGACTGCCATCAAAAACATTGATGAGAGCTTATGCTGAAGAGGATGAGAAGTAAGGAGAACACTCCTCCACTGCTGATGGGAGTACAAACTTGTCTAGTCACTTTGGAAATAGGTATGACAGTTTCCCAGAAAATTGGGAATCAATCTACCTCAAGACCCAACAATACCACTCTTGTGCATATACCCAAAGTATGCATAATCATAAGGACATTTGCTCAACTGTGTTCATAGGAGCATTATTTGTAATATCGAGAACATGGAAACAACTAGGTGCCCATCAACCAAAGAGAATAGATAAAGAAAATGTCATACCTGTCTTGCCCCTCCACCCTCTGATAGAGAGGTTAGTGCCAGGGGCTCTCCCAGACCACCTTTCCCTCTTCAAGTCCAAAAAATGCAAGAAATCAACAAATCTCTTAAAGCAAGGAAAACCAAGAAAAAAAAATCAAACAGATGAAGGAAACCATTCAAACAATTCAAGACCTGAAAACTGAAATAGAGACAATAAAGAAACACAAACTGAGGGATTGCTGGAAATAGAAAAGCTGGGTAAATGATAAGGAACTACAAATGCAAGCATAACCAACAGAATACAAGAGATGGAAGAAAGAATCTCAGGTGCTGGAGATAAACTAGAGGAAATACATTCATCCACAAGAAAAAAAATCTTAAACCCAACAAATCCTTATCACAAAATATCCAGGAAATATGGACATTGTGAAAAGACTAAACCTAAGAATAGTAGGTATAGAAGAAGGCAAAGAAACACAGCTCAAAGGTGCAGAAAACATATTCAACAAAATCACAGATGGAAACTTTCCCAAACTGAAGAAGGACAGGCCTAGAAAAGTATAAGAAGCTCTGCGAATACCCAATAGACTGAACCAAAAAAGTCCCCTTGCCACATAATAATTAAAACCCCAAAAATACAGAATAAAGAAAGAATATTAAGAGCAGTGAAGGAAAAAGGCAAAGTAACATATAAAGGTAGACCTATCAGCATTAAACCTGACTTTCCCATGGAAACTCTGAAAGCCAGAAGGTCCTACAGATGCCAGCCCAGACAACTATACCTATCAAAACTTTCAATCACTATAGATGGGGAAAACAAGATAATCCATGACAAAACCAGATTTACACATTACATATCCACACATCTAGCCCTACAGAAAATTCTGGAAGGAAAACTCCAACCTAAGGAACTTAACTACACTCACAAGAACATAAACAATAGATAATCACACTTTAACAAAAGACAGAAATAGGGGAATACTCACTTACACTACCACAACCAGAAAACAAATGCAACAATCAATGGTGATTAATATCCCTCAATATCAATGGTCTTAATTCACCTATAAAAAGACATAAGCTAACAGAATGAATATGAAGACAGAATCCATCCTTCTGCTACATACAAGAAACCTTCAAAGACAGACATTACCTCAGAGTTAAGGGTTGGGAAAAGATTTTCCAAGCAAATGGCCCTAAGAAACAAGCTGGTATGGCCATCCTAATATCTAACAAAAGAGACTTCAAACTAAAATTAATCAAAAGGGATGAAGAAGGTCATTTCATATTCATCACAGGAAAAATCCATCAAGATGAAGTATCAATTTTCAACACCTATGCACCAAATGCAAAGGTACCCACATTTGTAAAAGAAACATTACTAAAACTCAAATCACACATTAAACCCTATTCACTTATAGTGGGAGACTTCAACACCCCACACTCACCACTGGATATGACTACCAGACAGAAACTTAATAAAGAAACAAAGGAACTAACAGAAGTTATGGCCCAATTGGGTTTAACAAACATCTATAGAACATCCCATCCAAACACAAAAGAATATACCTTCTTCTCAGCACCGTATGGAGCCTTCTCTAAAATTGAGCACACACTTGGCAATAAAGCAAACCTTAACAGATATAAAAAATTGGAATAACCCCCTGTATCTTATCTGACCACCACAGGTTAAAATTAGAATTCAGCAACAGAAATTGCAGAAACACTACAAACTTATGGAAATTGAACAATGCTCAACTGCATCATTCCTGGGTAAAGGAAGAAATACAGAAAGCAATCAAAGACTTCCTAGAATTCAATGAAAATGAAGGCACAGCACACCCAAACCTATGAGATACTATGAAAGGAAAGTTCATAGCACTAAGTGCCCACATTAAGAAACTGGAGAATAGTCACCCTAGAGAATTAACAGAACACCTGAAAGCTCTAGAACAAAAAGAAGAAAACTTACCCAGGAGGAGTAGATGCCAGGAAATACTCAAATTGAGAGCTAAAATCAATAAAGTAGAAACAAAGAAAGCAATACAAAAAAAACCCAATGAAATAGAGAGTTGGTTCTTTGAAAAAATAAACAATACAGACAAACCTTTATCCAACCTAACCAAAGGACAGAGAGAAAACATGCAAATTAACAAAATCAGAAATGAAAAGGGGGACATAACAGCAGACACTGGTGGAAATCCAAAGTATCATCACGTCATACTTTGAAAACCTGTACTCCACAAAATTCGAAAATTTAAAGGAAATGACACTTTTCTGAATAGGTATCACTCACCAAAATTAAATCAAGAACAGAAAAGCAATTTAAATGGATTTATAACCTCTAATGAAATAGAAGCAGCCATCAAAAGTCTCCAACCAAAAAAAAAAAAAAAAAAAAAAAAAAAAAAAGCCCAGGGCCAGATGGTTTCAGCGCAGCATTCTACCAAAATTTCAAAGAACAGCTAATACCAATACTTCTCAAATTGTTCCACACAATAGAAGCAGAAGGATCATTGCCAAACTTTTTTTTTTACGAGGCTACAATTATCTTGGTACCCAAGCCCCACAAAGACACAACTAATAAAGAGAACTACAGACCAATCTCCCTCATGAACATTGATGCAAAAATACTCAATAAAATATTGGCGAATCAAATTCAAGAACACATTAGAAAAATCATTCACCATGATCAAGTAGGCTTCACCTCTGGGATGCAGGGATGTTTCAACTTATGAAAATCCATCAATGTAATCCACCATATAAACAAACTGAAAAAGAAAAAGCACATGATCATCTCACTAGATGGTAAAAATATCCTTTCACAAAATCCAGCATCCCTTCATGATAAAGGTCTTGGAAAGATTGGATAACAAGAACATACCTAAACATAATAAAGGCAATATTAAGCAAACAGACAGCCAACATTAAACTAAATGGAGAGACACTCAATGGGATTCCTCTAAAATCAGGAACAAGACAAGGTTGTTCACTCTCTCCATATCTTTTCAATATTGTACTTGAAGTTGTTTCTAGAGCAATAAGACAAGAAAAGGAGATCAAGTGGATACAAATTGGAAAGAAAGAAGTCAAATTTTCACTATTTGCAGATGATAAGATAGTTTACATAAGTGACCTGAAAAACTCTACCATGGAACTCCTACAGCTGATAAACACCTTCAGCAAAGTGACAGGATACAAGATCAACTAAAAAAAAATTAGTAGCCCTACTAAATACAGAGTATAAAAGAAATCAGAGAAACATCACCCTTTATAATTGCCACAAACAATATAAAATATCTTGGGGCAACTCTATCCAAATAGATGAAATACCTGTATGACAAGAAATTTGACTCACGAG